TGATTCTACTTTCTCAGTGGGAGAACTGTGTGGCATCAGTTCCAGGCTGGGGCACTGGAATGATTTCATTGCTTTTTTATAATATTGTAACATTTACAATGACTTTAATTTCTAGGTTTCCTGACACTGGATGGAACACCCTCACTAATCTGGACGGGGACGCAGAACTGATAAATATGATGTTTTTCTCCTTGACAGTGTTTTCTACACTGTTAATGTAGGACGTGTTGGAATGCTAATGAATGACTTTGTTTCTTGTAGGACGATCTTCGTGTGCAGTTCATTTTGCATATTAAAAGACAACATGAATGGTTTTGGGACTTTCCTACAGGGGGTCAAGTTACTGGGTAGCCATTTAATAACAGTGGGCTATCATGAAATAAGGTTGTGTGTATAAAATGGAGTTTTTGAAACAGGTTCACTCAAAACTGAACAACATTAGAACTACTGGATAATTATGTTTCTTTCAACCATGGTGTTATAATAATTGTGTTTAATACTTTCTACAGGATGAATTTTGGTTTGAAATTTGGGTAAATTTGTGTTTGGAAGATGGAACCAGTACAAATTGGGAAGTTCTAACTTTATGGTTCACGAATTTCTTTATTTCACATATTGGAGTGTGACGAACAAATTACAGGTGACCATGGGAATCTTTTCAGTTGCCGTAGGTGACTTACACTGTTTACTGTGTTTTCCCAGAGTTTCTGAAGAATTCAAAAATATATTGGTTACATTACAGGTCAACTAATGTAAAGATGCCTTCAAGTACTGAGAATGGGGTTGTGTTCCTGCTCTCACGAGAGTGTTGGGGGCAGATCACACCTCACTTTGTTTGGTCAGCTTGATCTGGGGTAGCATCCTGCATCTTTCTTACAATGGGATGTTAAAGAGTCTGCTTGAGTGTGAATGAGAATGAATGTGTATGCAAATGGCCATTGATGGGTTTTAGGAAGCGCTATGTAAATATGACGTCACTTTAGTGAGTAGCTGTGTGATATTTTTCTTATTTTGAACTATTTAGGGACAGTAAAGGTTTTGTTTCATAAAATTACTTGTATTAGTGGTTTACGGACAATCTTAAAGGTGATGATTACATATTTTGGTATCACAATCTGGTTAAAGCTGAATCATCTGCTTTTACAGTAGAATTAATACGAAACAAGAATTCAGCCTTGGCTTAAAGAAGATAAATGTAGTTATTAGGAAACTGTCTCATCCACTTTGACTAACAACACTAACAAACTAACCTAACTTCTAACTAAATTACCTTGGTTTATATTTCATATGGGTAACTGATTGGACATGTTGACATTTTAGCACAATGGGGGAAAGTTCTTCGATTTTTGTTTTCCACCTCTAAATTGTTTTTCTTTTTGAAATAAGAAAAACACAGGGGGATATTATAAAGATAAGATATTACTGATAGAACTTTGAAATTTGAAACATCCCAGTCTATTTTGAATACTAGATGGAAGATTTGGAGAAATGGTGGAACATGTTACAATATTTTAGTTTTTCAGCAAATTATTATATAACAGTGACATAGATTCCAAATTGTTTTTAAAATGATAATTTTATTATATCAACAGGGGGAGAAGGAAAAATAGACCCTAATTCCTGGTAAATTTTTGGATATGGTTAATTGTAAGTTAGTTAATCAATAATATTGAGTTTTTCATTCAACAATAGTGAATTATGGATTTCTTTCATGTAGAGTCATATTGCGTTCCTGCTTGACTAAAATATGGTGTATGTGATATAGAAGCTTATACTAAATTAGAATTGATCATCTAAAATTGAACAGCTTTAAAACAATATCTGAAAATGTTTTAAATGTAAACAATACCATGTTTACATTTAAAATTGTTGATAGATTTCTGCATCACTGCTGATTTTTAATAAGATACAGTTGGGTGTAAATTGTTAATTTTGAGGACATTTTTTGTTAAAACTGCTATGAAATTCAAATAAAATGTGAATAATTTCTGAAATTTTAAAATAGGACTTTGTCTTGAAGCATGGGACAATGATAAGAATGTTTGGTATTTAGTGGAACAATATGAAATTCATAATTATTTGACAAAGTGCAATTCAATCACAACTTTTATAAGTGTCAGTACTAGGACATTCTAGATTTTGTTCTAATTCTTTAATGAGTTTGTGATTTTAAAATTTGTAGTTGATATTTGGCACAAGCAGAGTGAATGTCATCGAGGTATTGACGTCTATTGATTTTGAACAGTAAGTGTCATTATTTTCTTAATTCTGGCACATCTGATGGTGGAATGTTTTAACACATTTCTATGTTTATTCTTTTTGCAGTTCAGGATTTGGGGCAGTTGGCCGTTTGTGCTATAACATCAACCACAAATCTAGAGCCACACGGGAGGATGCATCACAAGATAAAATAAAATTTTAATTATAATAGTGAAAGTAACAAAATGTCGCATACATAAGTTTTGATTTTTTAATTACTTTGTATTATTTTTACTCTGGCAGTTCTCCTTCCTTCTGACTTGATGGCGATCTTGGGGGCAGGGTCTTTTTAACTCAGATCATGGGACGATGTGATTAGAAAGGATCTTCTTGATTACCGCATCAGGCCGCTGCTGTTGCTGCTGAACAAGGTCATGATGATGCTGAACTGTGCCCATCTTCTGCTGGACTGCTGTATGAAAGCCAAAAGCTGTTGAACGATTACTAAGGTCAGTGAAGACGAACTGTGTTGTCACGTGAGGGCAAAGTGCTGCTCACAGGACATGGCAACAGATCTCTGCTTTGAGTGTTGCTTTTCACACCTGGCTGAAAACAAAAGGGACTCAGGCGTTATCTGTGAGAGTCCTCTACGTCCTGGAATCAGCGGGGAGTCGGGACCACAAAGATCAAAGCCTTTTGTCCAAACCCAGACGGGGGTTTTGGAGGATGACTGATCTGCTGGTTTCTACGTCCTGCTCTGTCAACCACGAAAGGCTGACCAAAGTTCATCAAAGAGGGACTGTATCCAGATGTTTCTGCACTGCGGGAATGACTGCTACTCTGGACACCTTCTGATTCAGCAGATAAAGAAATGGGGCATGGCAAGTCGCTCAGCAGTGGTCCTGTTGTGTTCTCATGTTTGATCCTGGATTCTCACCTCTGATCATGTGACCTGAGCGCCAAAGCCCACTCCTGGGGTTCCCTTCGGTCTGCAGGTGGGAGACGAAATGGATGCCAACAAAACTTGGTAATAAGTTCTTTTTAAATTTTTGTAGTGAGTGATGCCATTTTTTCTCTCCTTAATTTAGTTATAGCACAGATGCGCCCTGTTGCCTTCATGTCCTGAACCCCTGCAGTGAAATGCTAAGTGTTGAGGACACCCCATCTCCTGGTGTCAGAGGTTTTACAATACAGTTTGAGGGTTGGTGTGAACCAACGGTTACGACTCTGCATTTCTCGGAAATGCATTAACTTCCTCCATGATTCACTCTGTTTGTCTCGCAAAATGCTAATGTGTTTTTCCCTTCCTGCTTAAAACAGGAATGGGCAGGGACTAACTATTACAATTACAAAAGTTTTTCTTAACCATAGCTGAATTTCATTGTGTGTAACGCTTCATCTACTAAGGAAGATGATCTAAATTGTATTTGCATAGTACAGTGGCTACCATTTAGTGACAACTAAATTTAAATTTAAATGGAATTTAAAATTCAGGTGTTAAAGTGGATTGATGAGTGTCTGTGGAGCTTACTGAGCTAATGACACCAAGTTCTGTGTTGATTTCATAAATTTAATCAAATATTAAATTCTTTGATTGAGGTGTGCAGATTGTAACGGCGTCTGGGACACCATGTTTGAATTACATCCAACTGTGTTATATGATGCTAAAGTTAGTGGTGATAGCAGGTCTCATCTCAATGAGTTGTATGGGATTTTTATTGTATTCTATGACAGAACATTTGTTCTGTTATAGAAACAGGGGGAAATGAATGGAATTGATCTAATAAGCAAATTTGTAGTTTGGAGCTCTCTTTACTTTTCGGAAAAAGAGGTTATTGAAGTTAAATCAAAATTCATTAAATATGAGTTAACTATTTGGATATGGAATAACTAAAATTTATAAATTGAATACACTAAACTTAATATTACCTGTCAAATAGTTTATACAAAACAGGGTTTCCTAAAACAGGGAAGGTGATCGTTGGATTGTTGCATCTCTTTTCATATGATTTAAAATAAGTTGTTTAAGACATCCAGGAAGGTCTAAGCTAAATATTTACATCATTTAATAAACTTAGCTGTATCGAATCTCTCCCCAAAACTGAAAAGGCATTGATAATTGATAAACAATATAAAAAGGGTAATTCATTATCCAATTAAATATTTTACAAATAGCTTTTCAAAAGAATAAATGGATCAAAGGTAAAAATGGTTGAAATTTTGGGATTTAAAACTATGATTGGAATAAAATAAGTCATTTCTGATATTTAGTGACACGGTTAACTTTATTCTTGTAAAATAGCCTAATTGTTCTTTAAGGTTTTAAAATAGAAAATATGATGATTGAAATTAAATTGGTCTAAATTGGAGATTTACAAATGAACAATTATGGAACTGCTTCTAAAATATGGTTAAGGTTTGGGTTCAACATGATAGGAAACATTTATTTCTCATGAATGCCTTACATAAAAAGAGGGTCAAAATATTGATAAAATAAAGCTCTAAAGGAGCAGCTTCTTAAAATTCTAAGTTTACTGAGTTATAATACAAAAGGAAAATTACTGGAGGAGACTTAAAATAAGGAAATAAATTATAATTAGGAATAAAGTTTTAAAGAGAAATAAATAAAACTAAAAGCTGCCAAAAAATCTTTTCCTTCCTGATAATACAATGAAGTAACTATTAAAATAAGATTTGATAACAAGAACAATATATGACTTGAAACAATAAGGAATGATTAGAGTATTAATTAATAAATCAGTGTAAATGAAACATTAATTCAAATTGGAAGGAATTACTTGTTAAAATACATTAAGGAGCTCTAGATAGGTGACAGACTCTGTTCCAGTATGCCGACCAGCTGATGACCTCATTGGATAACAAAGGACCACAACCTGGGGTGACTGAGGACCTTCAGCCCTGGCCGGAGGACGACCTCACACCTAGATGTTCATCAGGATTTCTTTCATTCTATTATGCTTTTGATGTCATCAAGTTGGAAAAGAGGGAACGGCCTCTTTGTTAAACTCACCAAATTGTGGGCATAATAATCCCTAAATAGGTGAGCATCGGTTACTGAGCTGACGACCCTGAGTTCAAAACTATAAGGAAAATGAGCTGCTGGAGACGAGAGGATCATCTTTGTTTTTCCTATTAACAAGTTTTCATCTTTCATCTACGACGTGCCAACGAACTCATCTTACTTCAAGGAGCATCAAGAAACACGGACACAAAATGAAGATATGTAAAAAAAGACAAAAAATTGTACAAAAACTATTCAACTGGAGGTTTATTGATAGTTTGTAAGTCTTTTATATGCAGTATATTGTATCTAACTTGCTCATTTATTTCATGGATAATTTTGGACAAATATTTGTGTAACATCCTATTTACATCAGGAATATGATTGACTTTTCTAAAATATAATTTTAAGTATTACATTACGATCTGTGGTAAAGTTTCTGTTAAGTATTGATAAATTTATGCATCATCTTTTGGTAAGACTTGACTATGGGCTAGATCATTTTGAACATTTATTTTAGGATTTTAATCCTTTATATGATTTTGCTGTCTGATTTTATTTGCTATGAATATGCCAACATTTTAACAACAAATGTTATGTAGAAATGTTATGCAAAAAGAGGGGCGTAATTTATCAGCTATAATATGGTGTTTCTGAATTTAGGCTTATACTATCGCATAGCATATTTTAAAATTATATTTTAGAGTGTAATCTCTATTAAGAGATTAAAAGAGGGAACTGTTGAGAAAATAAATTTAAAATAAGCTAGTTTTAAAACTTAACATGTCTTGATTCAAATGGCCTAAATTGTGGTTTTAANGGTACAGGTTGAGTCACCTTGAAGGACTGTGGCAAATTATTTGATTTGGTACAGGTTGAATCACCTTGAAGGACTGAGAATAATTAATTCGGTACAGGTTGAATCACCTTAAAGGACTGAGAGAAATGGTTTATTATGCTAAATTTAGGCTAATTTTTGCCTTGGGCGTACCCAGCCCTAAAAGTTATTGAATATAAGTGATTAACAGTGATGGTTTGTGAAGAAGTTTATACGTAATAAGAGAAGTTGAAATGAGAATAAAAGAGATTTGTCGAAGTGAAGTTGGAAGATTAAAAGATGCATCGTACGTTCTTTTAAGCCGGCGCCTGACGTTTTCTTTTCTTTTCTTTTCTGTCTTTTCTTGGCTGAACTACGACGTCGTCTGTGTATCTGTGTTTGTGTGCGTGCTTGGCTGCGGGTTGATCTATTACTGATTTTGTGTCTGTCTGTCCGCCATTTTATGTTTCACTGCGCGCTGCTGTCTGTCTCTGTCTGAGTTGTGTTGAGATTGTGCAGAAGAGATTTGTGTCTTATGTGTTTGTCTGTTTTGCTGGATGTTATGTTGCTGTGTTTCTGTTAACTCCTGTTTCTGTGGGACAGAGATTTCTTCTCCATTTTGGTTACAGGTTTTGTTTCACAGAGCAGGGGCCTGATTGACCACTCCATTTGCATTTTAGGAGTGCTTCAGTTCTGTTAGCACTGACATTTCCAGCTCACTCTTTCAGGATTCTTGGAATTTGATGTGAATTTCTTTTAGAACTGTGTTTTATATTGAAATGAAAAGTACAAAATAACAGATTTACAGATGTTTCTATTTTCTCAGCGGGAGAAATGTATGGCATCAGGTCCAGGCTGGAGCACTGGAATGATCTCATTGCTTTTTATAATATTGTAACATTTACAATGACTTTAATTTCTAGGTTTCCTGACACTGGATGGCACACCCGCACTAATCTGAACGGGGACGCAGAACTGATGAATATGATTTTCTCCTTGACAGTGTTTTCTACACTGTTAATGTAGGACATGTTGGTACACTAATGAATGACTTTGTTTCTTGTAGGACGATCTTCGTGTGCAGCCCATTTTGCATATTACATGATCACATGAATGGTTTTTGGGGTTTTCCTACAGGGGGTCTAGTTACTGGGTAGCCATTTCATAACAGTGGGCTATCATGAAATAAGGTTGTGTGAATAAAATGGCGTTTTTGAAATAGGTTCACTCAAAACATTATTAGAACTACTGGATAATTATGTTTCTTTCAACCATGGTGTTATAATAATTGTGTTTAATACTTTCTACAGGATGAATTTTGGTTTGAAATTTGGGTAAACATGTGTTTGGAAGATGGAATCAGTACAAATTGGGAAGTTCTAACTTTATGGTTCACAAATGTCTTTATTTTACACATTGGAGTGTGACGAACAAATTACAGGTGAACATGGGGATCTTTTCAGTTGCTGTAGGTGAATTACACTACTTAATGTGTTTGCCCAATGTCATCGAGGAGAATTGGAAAGTATATTTCTTACATTATAGGTCAACTAATGTAAAGATGCCTTCAAATACTGAGAATGGGGTCGTGTTCCTGCTCTCACGAGAGTGTTGGGGGAAAATCACAACTCAATTTGTTTGGTCAGCTTTATCTGGGGTAACATCCTGCATCTTTCTTACAATGGGGTGTTGATGGGTCTGCTTGAGTGTAAATGAGAGTGAATGTGTATGCAGATGGCCTTTGATGGGTTTTCAGGAAGCGCTTTGTAAATATGACGTCACTTTAGTGAGTAGCTGTGTGATATTTTTCTTATTTTAAACTATTTAGGGACAGTAAAGGTTTTGTTTCATAAATTTACTTTTACTACTGCTTTACGGACAATTTTAAAGGTGATGATTACATATTTTGGTATCACAATCTGGTTAAAGCTGAATCATCTGCTTTTACAGTAGAATTAATACGAAGCAAGGATTCAGCCTTGGCTTAAAGCAGATAGAATTAGTAATTGAGAGACTGTCTCATCCACTTTGGTATTTTTTTTTTTTTTTTTTTTTACTAACACTTACTAACTGCATTAAATTGGTTTATATTTCATATGGGTAACTGATTGGACATGTTGACATTTTAGCACAATGGGGAAAGTCTCCTATTTTGGTTTTCCACCTCTAAATTGTTTTTCTTTTTGAAATAAGAAAAACACAGGGGGATATTGTAAAGTTAAGAGATTACTGATAGAACTTTGAAAATTCAAACATCTCAGTCTATTTTGAATACTAGATGGAAGATTTGGAGAAATGGTGGAGCATCTTACAATATTTTGGTTTTTCAGCAAATTATAACAGTAACATAGATTCCAAATTGTTTTCAAAATGATAATTTTATTATATCAACAGGGGGAGAAGGAGTAGTAGACCCTAATTCCTGGTCAATTTTTGGATACGGTTAATTGTAAATTAGTTAATTAATAATTTTGACTTTTTCATTCAACAATAGTGAATTATGGATTTCTTTAATGTAGAGTCATATTGCCTTCCTGCTTGACTAAAATATGGTGTATGTGATATAGAAGCTTCTACTAAATTAGATTTGATCATCTAAAATTGAACAGCTTTAAGCAACATCTATGAAATGTTTGTTACATTTCAAATTGTTGATAGATTTCTGCATCACTGCTGACTTTAATTATATACAGTTGGGTGTAAATTGTGAATTTTGAGGAAAATTTTGGTTAAAACTGCTATGAAATTCAAATAAAATGTGAATAACTTCTGAAATTTAAAAATAGGACTTTGTCTTGAAGCATGGGACAATGATAAGAATGTTTGGTATTTAGTAGAACAATATGAAATTCATAATTATTTGACAAAGTGCAATTCAATCACAACTTTTAAAAGTGTTAGTACTAGGACATTCTAGAGTTTGTTCTAATTCTTTAATGAGTTTGTGAGGTTGTGATTTTAAAATCTGTAGTTGATATTTGGCACAAGCGGAGTGAATGTCATCGAGGTATTGACGTCTAACAGTAAGTGTCTTTATTTTCTTAATTCTGGCACATCTGATGGTGGAATGTTTTAACACATTTCTATGTTTATTCTTTTTGCAGTTCAGGATTTGAGGCAGTTGGCCGTTTGTGCTATAACATCAACAACAAATCTAGAGCCACACGGGAGGATGCATCACAAGATAAAATTAAATTTTATTTATAATAGTGAAAGTAGCAAAATGTGGCATACATAAGTTTTGATTTTTTAATTACTTTGTATTATTTTTTCTCTGGCAGTTCTCCTTCCTTCTGACTTGATGGCGATCTTGGGGGCAGGGTCTTTCAAGCTCAGAGATCATGGGACGGTGTGATTAGAAAGGATCTTCTTGATTACCACATCAGGCCGCTGTTGTTGCTGCTGAACAAGGACATGACGATGCTGAACTGTGCCCATCTTCTGCTGGACTGCTCTATGAAAGCCAAAAACTGTTGAACGATTACTAAGGTCAGTGAAGATGAACTGTGTTTTCCTGTTGTCACGTGAGGGCAAAGTGCTGCTCACAGGACCTGGCAACAGATGTCTGCTTTGAGTGTTGCTTTTCACACCTGGCTGAAAACAAAAGGGACTCAGGCGTTATCTGTGAGAGTCCTCTACGGCCGGGAATCAGCAGGGAGTCGGGACCACAAAGATCTAAGCCTTTTGTCCAAACCCAGACGGGGGTTTCAGAGGATGACTGATCTGCTGTGTTTCTACGTCCTGCTTTGTCGACTACGAAAGGCTGACCAAAGTTCATCAAAGAGGGACTGTATCCAGATGATTCTGCACAGCGGGAATGACTGCTACTCTGGACACCTTCTGATTCAGCAGATAAAGAAATGGGGCATGGCAAGTCGCTCAGCAGTGGTCCTGTTGTGTTCTCATGTTTGCTCCTGGATTCTCACCTCTGATCATGTGACCTGGGCGCCAAAGCCTGCTTTTGAGGTTCCCTTCAGTCTGCAGGTTGGAGACGAAATGGATGCCAACAAAACTTGGTAGTGGTGAATACGTTCTTTTTAAATTTTTGTAGTGTGTGATGCCATTGTTCTCTCCTTACTTTAGTTATGGCACAGATGCGCCCTGTTGTCTTCACGTCCTGAACCCATGCTGTGAAATGCTAAGTGTTGAGGACACCCCATCTCCTGGTGTCAGAGGTTTTACAATGCAGTTTGAGGGTTGGTGTGAACCAACTGTTACGACTCTGCATTTCTCAGAAATGCATTAACTTCCTCCATGATTCACTCTGTTTGTCTCACAAAATGCTAATGTGTTTTTCCCTTCCTGCCTGAAAAGAATGGGCAGGGACTAACTATTGGAATTACATAAGTTTTTCTTAACCATAGCTGAATTTCATTGTGTGTTACGTTTCATCTACTAAGGAAGATGATCTAAATTTTATTTGCATAGGATCAGGCTACCATTCAGTGAAAACTAAATTTAAATTTAAATGGAATTTAAAATTCAGGTGTTAAAGTGGATTGATGAGTGTCTGTGGAGCTTACTGAGCTAATGACACCAAGTTCTGTGTTGATTTCATAAATTTAATCAAATATTAAATTCTTTGATTGAGGTGTGCAGATTGTAACAGCATCTGGGACACCATGTTTGAATTACATCCAACTGTGATTATATGATGCTAAGGTTAGTAGTGATAGCAGATTTCATCTCAATGAGTTGTATAGGATTTTTATTGTATTCTATGACAGAACATTTGTTCTGTTATAGAAACAGGGGGAAATGAATGGAATTGATCTAATAAGCAAATTTGTAGTTTGGAGTTGTCTTTACTTCTTGGCAAAAGAGGTTATTGAAGTTAAATCAAAATTCATTAAATATGAGCTAACTATTTGGATATGGAATAACTAAAATTTATAAATTGAATACACTAAACTTAATATTACTTGTCAAATAATTTATATAAAAAGTGTTTCTTAAAACAAGGAAGGTGATCGTTGGATTGTTGAATCTCTATTCATATGATTTAAAATAAGTTGTTTAAGACATCCAGGAAGGTCTAAACTAAATATTTACATCATTTAATGAACTTAGCTGTATGGAATTTCTCCCCAAAACTGAAAATGCATTGATAATTGATAAACAATATAAAAAGGGTAATTCATTATCCATTTAAATATTTTATAAATAGGTTTTCAAAAGAATAAATGGATCAAATGTAATAATGGTTGAAATTTTGGGATTTAAAACTATGATTGGAATAAAATAAATCATTTTTGATATTTAGTGACACAGTTAACTTTATTCTTGTAAAACAGGCTGATCATTCTTTAAGGTTTTAAAGTAGAAAATATGATGATTGAAATTAAATTGGTCTAAATTGGAGATTTACAAATTAACAATTATGGAAACGCTTCTAAAATATGGTTAAGGTTTGGGTTCAACACAATGGGAAAACATTTATTTCTCTGATGTAGGCCTTTTATAAAAAGAGGGTCAAAAGATTGACAAAATACAGCTCTAAAGGAGCAGCTTCTTAAAATTTGAAGTTTACTGAGTTATAATACAAAAGGAAAATTACTGGAGGAGATTTAAAATAAGGAAATAAATGATAATTTGAAATGAAGTTTTAAAGAGAAATAAATAAAATCTACCAAAAAATCTTTTCCTTCCTGATAATGAAGTAACTATTAAAATAAGATTTGAGAACAAGAACAATATATGACTTGAAACAATAAGGAATAATTAGAGTATTAATTAATAAAATCAGTGCAAATAAAACATTAATTCAAATTGGAAGGAATTACTTGTTAAAATACATTAAGGAGGTCTAGATAGGTGACAGACTCTGTTCCAGTATGCCGACCAGCTGATGACCTCATTGGATAACAAAGGACCACAACCTGGTGTGACTGAGGATCTTCCCTGACCGGAGGACGACCTCACACCTAGATGTTCATCAGGATTTCTTTCATTCTATTATGCTTTTGATGTCACCAAATTGGAAAAGAGGGAACGACCTCTTTGTTAAACTCACCAAATTCTGGGCACAATAATCCCTAAATAGGTGAGCATCGGTTACTGAGCTGACGACCCTGAGTTCAAAACTATAAGGAAAATGAGCTGCTGGAGACGAGAGGATCATCTTTGTTTTTCCTATTAACAAGTTTTCATCTTTCATCTACGACGTGCCAACGAACTCATCTTACTTCAAGGAACACGGACACAAAATGAAGATATGTAA